AAGAGCGGAGGAAACTTAATATTATATAAGAAATTGTATAAAAAGGTTGACTATACCTCGCTCCCATTTTCTTGTCATCATCTGCTTGACAGCCCATATGGATCATCGCTATGGCACCATACATTTCGCTCTTTATCGCACATGTGCGCGACCATTCCTTGAAAAATCGAGAATTCACTTGTAACACATACTTTCTTTGGAAACGAAATTGAACTGTCAAGTAAACGATGAACTCATTCACAGACCGTCACTGTTTCTATTGTACTTCTTCTGGAGACCAAAGTAGAAGGATGATGATATTGACAACCTAGCTAAACTGATTCACCTTATACTTCTGCGATGAGACGTAGTCACAAAGGTTTGAGTTTTCAATATGTCGTAAACACTCTTGATATCGATCCCTCAAATGTATGGCCAGTTTCGCCACAACTAGGTTGCTGCGATGATCAATCAGACTCTTCTCTAGCAAGCATTCTTGAGCTTGGCCCTTTAAAAATAGAAAATAACATAATCTGCACTGACCAAATTAAGAAAAAACCAAATTAAAGATGTAGATTCGATATTCACCAAAAGCACATTGACAAAGAATGTCAGCAGCTCCTTATCAAAGTCTACAGAAGCATATTTAGAAGCATTGAGTTTGTCGCGAAGATGCTGAAGTGGCCAAGCCGCATACTGATAGTGCATGAAAGCGTTTTTGATGCTCTGAAATTTCAGTATAAATAATTCTGGACTTGTAATATAGTAAGATAATTTCCATTAAAGACAAAACAACTCACATCCTCATTCTCTCTAGTTTCGCTGACTGCAATCGCAGCATGAACAGCTCCGATATTATACATAACACATGCTAGCTCAAAGCCTACATCATCATAAGTAGCCGAATGAGCTATATCCATAGCTCTGTCATACCTAAATGCCATAACTGCGCTATCACTCAGTGAAAAAGATGAGGTTTTAAATATAAAAGTAAACAGCTCACCAGCAGAAGAGCACTTTGATAGGATCACCCTCTTCCATTGGGAAGCGATTCTTCATCATAAGCAATTGAGCATAGTACCGCTTCAGTAAGCAAGCTGTTTCGACATCCACATACGAATTACTTATATTCTTGAAAAAAAT